ACGGACCAGCTTGGAAAGTCATCATAGATGAACTTAACATACCACCCACTGTATTCGCATCACCCACTGTCCATGTACTCTAAAAAGCGGGAAAGGTGTGCAGGGTGACACACGGACCGGAGGGGTTCCGGGTAGCTAACCTCTGACACATCCCAGGGTTGTGATCTTGTCCAAGAATCACAAACTCCGTCTCGTGAAAGGCCATCAGAGGGGTTACTCTCAGAGTCTATCCACTCGATCCAAACACGAATTTGAAATCGTTGAAATAAGAAATGGGCCACCTGAACCAGGGTATGGACATCGATCTGGGAGCTGGAGCCACGGATAAGTGAAGCCACAGCTGCTTCATTATCGATAAACCACAAGATATCCTGGTGTCGCAAGGTGGCTCCATGAAACCAAGGTACTAAAAGTCCACAAAGAGTTTCACCTGGATAAATTTGTTGCGTGCGGGCAGTCCAGGACTGAATCACCGCCTGGGGGACAACACAGGTCACCCCTTGTGGGCGAGGGGACTGGCCAAAGATAACCCAGCCAACTCGAAGGACCTCATGTTCGAAGGACGCATCCGAGTAAACCAGGATTGGTTGGCGCGGGGACGCCCTGACAGCAACATCTCGAGGCCCTGGGCAAGTGACCAACGCGACCAAAAGCCGGAGGGTAACACCATCCTCAGGGGAGAGACTAGGGGAGTCAGCATGCTGTAAAGCAGTAAGCGTAGGTCCAGCGATCCTACCTGCTTGGCCTGCGCACATGCTAAACATCCAGTTGAGGTCACCTCTGAGCTTGCCAGCGTCGTCTGGAGACAGACTGTTGGTAGCTAGAGCAAGGTGAAGTTTAGCTAATACCTTTCTCTGGGTGGTGAACTTGGGTTGGAACCGAATCGATCCCAAGGAAACAAAATCTCCAACATGTACTGATGTACCAAGGTAGTGGCGGTTCCGCCCAGGGGCAAATGATTTGGACGCTTGCGGTGGTGCTCCCATAAGTTGAAGAACAAGCTGGAGTCCGCGCTGCGAGACATCCGCACGGTGAACAAAATCAACCGCAAGTTCATCATCAAAGTAAGCAGCACAAAGAGACAGGGTACAGCGTCTGGCAATCGCGATACCCAACTGGGGAAATCGGTTGAAGCTGACAACTGCACTCTCTAGTCCGTAAGCCAGCCCGTACATGGTGGTAAACCGCCAGCCTTCGTCAGGGACGAAAATGGCCACATTGGAGAACCGCAAATGGTCGTCTTGGACTGGCAAGCCTCGATAGGCATCAGGCAAATCATCTGTGCCCAATCTCAAGTCTAGCCAATCGGGAGGGTCGGACCAAAGGGTCTCCAAAGTGGTATTGACCATGCGAGCAACGGAGGCAACAAAATCAACGTTAACGGTCGAAATGGTCTCCTGCATGGAGGTATGCATGTTATGGCCACTCTTGCGGGCATTATCAATGACCCTCTGTTTTCCATCAGGCTGAATAATAAGAAAGCGCTCCACTGCGCGCCAGCCGCCAACGCCAAATTGATCATTCATTTCCTGCATAGTTCGTAGTGGGCTGCAAAAACCCTTAATGATCTCATCTTGAGTAACGGCCAAAATTTCCGGGGCGTGCAGGGGGGGTCGGCTACGGATCAACCGCTGTACCTCCTCTTCGGCGGATGGACCCAGCCAATCAGCCAAAGGGAGTTTATCAGCTTGTTGGATACCTCGGAACACCCCAGACGGCGGAAGGGACCCAACAATAGCGAACCCCTGGACAAGTTGGCGGGCCATATCACGGTCCGGCCACCGCAGGAGGCATGCCATGGTTGCAACAAAAGCAGGCTTTTTAACATGCGCTACTTTGTTGGCACTAGTACACCTTACCGCCGCAAGGCACGGGTTCAGGATTTGCACAGCTTTTTCCACAGCCTTCAGAGTATGCCGCAGCCTTTGGCTGTAAACTGGGAGAAACTGCTGCCAGACACCCAGTGCCTGGACCACAAATGAGACGTCAGGTTCAGGCCAATCGTGAGGATGGAAAGGCGACGGGAGTTGCATAGCCTGCTGCACATGTTCATCCTTGCCCAACCCCGGGGGCAAAAGATGATCCAGTCCTTTGGCCGAAGAGCTTGGGTAGCGTTGTCCTGTGAGCCCAGCGAAGATAGCTGTCCGCATACGCCCCCAAATAGGGACTGGTCCCAACACTTCCCAAGGCTCTTGCCGGAGCCGCCTCCACATAGGATAAGCTTGCAGACTCACCAGATCACAGGCCTGCAACCGGGCAAGGACCTGCTGCCAAGTCCGCTCTGGGATGTCGGCAAAAGCAAATTGGAGCCGCAGGTCCTGGCACACCTCAGTAGCGGTCAACACACCTGGCATGACTTCCAGGCGGCCTGGTTCCCAGACCGTATGCCGCAACCTGGCCCCCAATGCTGCTTCCTCGATGGAGGTGAAGGATGGCACAAACTTTGCCTCCAAAATACTAGGTAGCATAGCCAACAGCGCCACCACACAAGGAATATGGAAGCCATTACCAATGAAGGAATTCTGGACCTGGGTACGCTTCACTTGGTTGCCCCGAGCGGGCGCTACCAGTGCTGGCGGCAAGCACATCAACTGGCAGCGCTCAGCAGGCGACGGTTGGCGCCACTGCCGCCCCTGCCAAAGGAGTGAATTCTCCTCATACGCCCCCGGGGGAAAGCGGCGCTGATCAGCATAGAAACGTTCAGCTGCCTCAGGGCTCACTTCGGGGACCCGGTCCTCTGGGTGGTAAAATTCACGAGTGAATGTGTGCGTCGCACCCTTGCCAGCTTGCTGCAAGACCACCTGAGGGGAAAGCAGAGGCATGAAGCGGTCGTCCCAGCTCAAATTCGGACACCAGCCGTTGAAGCTCAAGCGGTTGCTGTGACCGTGTGTCAGCAAGCCCCTTGCGGCGTCGGTTCAGGGCTGAATTGCCTTGACATGGGGAGCCCCCTCCCAGGAGGACCCCCCGAAAGGAACGGCGGACCAGCATAGGGATGAAGTCCACGGCACGCAAATCCTCTACTCGCCTGACAGGGACAACTTGGGGCATGACGGCTTGAGTGCAATGGGCCGCTTCCTCATCCATTTCAGCGGCCATGTACCTTTGAAAGGTTTTGCCCACGGGAACTGAGGCAAATCCCCTTGGCCCCGCCACGTGATAGGTTTTGCTGCGTACAGGCGGTCAGCCATCGGGGTGTGGCCACTGTGGCCTTCAGGTCGTAGGAGAACGCAGCGGTGGGCCTCAGAAGATGCCGAACTAGCCTGAAGTTGGTCATTCAAGGCCACCTCGCCTGGGCCCCCCCGGCGTTCCCTGACCCTCGGGGGGCGCTGTCCCTATTCACGCTGAAGCCGGGTGTGGCTGGCCAGGCAGGCTTTCGCTGAGCTCAGCTTGACATCGCACTGATGCAGATCTTTGCAGCCCGCCTTGGTGCAACCACGCCCATCATTGAATGGCTTGCAAATCTTCTGGCCCCCTTTCAACATAGAGATAGTGGGCCATTTGTCCGTCTTGACCATGCGCCGCTCCTTGGCAGGACCCTTCTCCTGTGGCTGGTCGCTCTCCGTCATGCGCCGTTTTGGGGAGGAACCTGCCTCAGGCAAGGTTGGCTGGACCCCCGGGGCGCGCCAGTCAATATGGGTTTGGCGTAATGCCTCCTCCAGTGCAGATTGCCCTGTGTAGCCACGGCGGATGAGGGAAGCCATCTTGGAGCGTGTGTTGATGTCATTCCTCTCCAACCACAGTAGGCTGCCCTGCCCGAATTCCATGGTGAATTGCAGGGCTTGATCTGCATATGACATAGCTGGGGTAAGGGGCATGAAGACCTTCTCATTGCCATCGAAGTCTGACACCTTGTACAAACCTCCCCACGCCCAGGCATAAGCCAAAGTGCGTAGTGAAAAGTAGTACTCCACCACGGTGCGAACGATACGATGGTCGTCGGCTGCGAACTCAAGCTGAAAGCCCGCACCCAGGCGGACTGATTCTTGTTGCTTGGGCGCCGACTGGTGGAGGATAGATCGGACCTTTGCCACACTGATGACCGACATCGTCCTCTTGCGGAATTCCCTATAGACACGGGACCGAAGGGCGTCTGATGGTTCCAAGAACGCATCCAACACCACGCCATACTTGGTGGCAAAGTCCTTGTGAAGTTGTTGCATTGTCGATTCGGGGAGTGTCTCATCAACCGCCTCTGGCTGTTTTGCTTCTGCAGCGGCTGCGCGAATGGCCTCCAGGCCAGCTGCATGGGCTGCTTTAAGCCGCGCCCGCAACAACCTGTTGTCCTTCATCTTGGTGGGCTGGAGTACCTGATCCAATGATGTTTCCATGGAAGACTCATTGAAGTAGTAGACAAAATCTTCCAAGGTTTCCCACTTGTGGATGTGGACTAACTCACTCTTCCACTCCTCCAGGATGTTGGCCCCAGCGAAGCAGGTTGTCAATCCACGGTCATCCTGATATGTATCAATGCGCCTTGAACTGCTCATGGTCGTAGGGGCACCACAAACGAAAGCTTGAGTGAACTAGCTACGATCCCTGTGAGCCCGGAGCTGGGTTGCAACAAAGCAAACTCCCCGGGGGAGGTCGCAGACCTACCACCCTGTCCGTCCGAACGAATGACCACGCCCCGACGCCCTCCCCATTCCGGTGGCATCCGCGGCGAGGCCAAACCAGGTCACAGACCGAAGGTGCCCCCCTTCAAGCCAACCCCCAGGGGGGAAAGGAAAAGGGGGTAGGGGACCCAACCGAAACGACCGACTGGGAACAAACGACGTCGGAACGGTCGGTGACCAAGTCAAAACCGAACCCCACCTAGACGCACGTCGACCCCGACCCAGCACCCCCACAGGGCTCTGGCCCCTCGGCTTTTTATACACTCAGTGCAACCATCCGCACTGGTCAGCCAGGGAGGCATAGAGGCCTCGTGGCATGCGTGCCAGGCATCGCTGGCAAAACTGGCTCCGAACAACCAATCCGAAGCCCTCGCCCTGGCTCTTGGGGTCTTGGGCGAAAGGTGAATCCCGGCAATACGGCAGCTGGCGCTCATCGACCACGCCACTGACAATGTGAACTCGACGGCTTTGGACGAACCACTTGGCTTCTGTGATAGCCGCCTCCTCTGCCAGGACACCCTCCAAGTCGCTGCCCATAGCCGAACAGTCCGACGCGGACGAGGAGGTAGTAGACGAAGAAACCGACTGGGCCGTCGGGTCAGCTTCCACCACCGGGGGTGTGACATTGTCTACCTCCTCAGTCTTAACCTCGTCTGCTGGGCCTGCCACAGGCAAGGCACTCCCCGAGGCTTCCAAGGGCGGTGTCTCTGATGGGGGCTGGACCTCAGGCGTCATCAATGCTGCCTCCAACGGTCCAAAGCTCTCGTTCATCTGGGCTAACTCTGGCCAGGTCCAGGCATCACGGGCCACGAGACCATCTGCATTGAGGGCCAGTTCTGGGAGCTTGCGCCGAAGTAGGTGGAGGAACCTCTGAATCAACGCCCTCTTGACTGCTGCGGAGTGCAACACCTTCTGTCCAGCGTAGTGAAGGCCCATTGACCATACTGCTTTGCTCTTACGAACTGGTTCGGGGCCTCCGGCACTGGGGACCTCCTGCCAGTTTCCAATGGCCTGCTGGTTTGATGGCTGCAAGCCACACACCAGGCCCATGGTGGGCAGAAAACGGCGCAGTCTATTGTAGCCAGCTCCCCGGGCCTGGGCATGATCCACCTGCATGGTGATGAGCGCGCCACGAAGGAGTTCCAGAAAGCGACCCCGCGACATCTTCCTGTTCACCAGCCATGCCGTGCCCTCGGTGACCTCCCAGAGATCATCCGAGCTGAGTTGGAGGGCCGGCCACAGGAAATTCAACTGGGGGTTCAGGTCCCTCACAATACGGTGGATGCTGAGCCCTTGGAACTCCAGTTCTGGCATAGCCCACGAGTAGGGAGGTCGCGCTCCACGTCGTCGAGCTTTGCCTTGGGAGCACTCGAAGATCAGGCACTGGGGGTGGCTCTCAATGTAATGTGACCTTTGAAAATGTTCAAAGCGTACACGCGAAATAGCGGCCCAGACAAAAAATGTCAAAATCAACAAGTGGGTACCTGATGCTTTCTTCATCATCAATAACAGGTTCACCAGCTCCCAGGGCTGTAGTTCGGTCCTCTGTTGTACCCGATGATCAGGTGGGAGCAGCCTGAAGGGTTGGGTAAGCCAATGATCTGTATTGAAGTTGAGGCCAAAGGTAACCCTGAACCACTTCAAGGCCTGGAACATCGAGGATGCTGCTGTAGCGCCGCCCTGGGCCACGGCGCGAAAGAATTCGCCCAACTGGAGCGGTGTTGGCTGGGCAACGGCGAAAGCCTTCTCAGAGGCGTACCGCTGCCATCGCCGCAAAGCCGCCAGCAGGGCGCCAATCCTCGCCTCAGTGAGGCGTCCGGTTGACTGCATAATCTGATCCTTGAACTGCTGCAGTCGTACGGGATCACTCAACTCTTTCAGGTCACCCCCAGCTCGGCGATGTTGAGGAAATCGCTCAGCAACAGGTCAAAGAGGGCCTGAGTTTTGGTGGCCCTCTTGGCTTCAGCCTTGGTGTGGGGATCGGCTGCCACGGCTGCAAGTAGCATTGGTGGTCGCCCTGGGAACCCAGTCTCCAGCAGCTGACGAACGTGTCCCTTGGGACCTGTGCCTTGAGGTGCCACCACCATTGACGTGGTCTCCACGACCGAAACACGGTCCCCGATCACCGCTCTGGCAACGCGCCTGTGGTGATCTTGGGCCCGGCGAGCGGCAAGCGTCCATAAGGCGCTAACCTGGAATGCTTCTTCGGCGTCCAGGGGGCCTTGGATGTGCTCAAGCTCCGTCACCAACTCGCCGCCATGGGACCAAATGCCAACCACGTCCTGGCAGGTCTGGACGCCCTGGTGGCAAAATAGCTGCACCAACTCATCCGAGCGCTCGGCAACCAACTCCAGCAAATCGGCCTCCATGGCCTGGTCCGGTTGGCGCACAGTCACAACCGGAATGCGGCCGCGCCCAGGCGACACAGAAGGCGACCGCGGCCTCCTCAGCCTCAGTGGAGGAGGTCCAGGCGGGGGCATGGGCTGCCTAGGAATTGCCTGCCTCGGTGGAGGCACTGGAGGCTGCTTGGGAGGTACCGGACAGCTGCTCTTTGATGAGGTCTCTGGCCTGCTGGGCTGAGATTCCGAGGATCTGCGCGACCTCCTCAATGGAGACCTGGCTGGAGGTAGCTTCGAAATGGGGTGAATTGGCCCTGTCACCCCACCCGGTGATCTCGACCTGGTCCTCGGTGTCTTGGCCTCCGTCTTCGATGTACGCGGCATGGCCTTGCTCCCAAGAGATGTGATCAAACCTGCACTGATCACAGACCAAGTGCAGGTGATCACACTCAGCGCACACCGCCCCAAAGCTCTCAGGCCGGCGGAAATAGCAGCCCTCGCACCAGGAGGCTGTAAATACGCCACAGCAGCGGCAATGGTCAGCCTGCACGTCCGGCCGGCGCTCAATCGTGTCCCAAATCGACACGATGTAGGCTGACCTGGCACCCAGATCAGCGCGTCGGTCCTCCACCGACAACTCGCAGGGATTGCTCCCCCGGTGCCCGCGCCGCCACCGCCGCGCCCCCGGTTGCCACACCGTGAGCGACGTGCGGCGAATCGCCGGCATGGCGAAAAACAAATCCCTGCCCTGATCTTGAGCCAAAATGGCATCAAGATCAGGAGTTACCCCTGTATGTTTCAAATCCCAAAATGTCCCTACCCAACCATCCATTCATTTTGGGAAGATAAAAAAAATACATCATATCACATCAAGCACTCCGGAAAAGTCTTCCGTTTTTTTCCTGCAGATGCTCTGCTGGTTTCGCTGTGACGTCCACAAACAGCCTGACGATCGAGCGACTCACAGCAAGGTGTCACTCGAGCGCTCCCAACAACAATCCCTTTTCGGTCGAAGCCTTGCTCCTAGTAGCGATGCCAGGAGCTCCTAGTAGCGTCCGATCGCTCCTACTTCTTCGAGTAGAACACCGGGGCATTGCTGAAACTCCTGTTGCCCACTTCGCTAGCAAGAAGCTACGTTCGGGGCTCCTGGCCTTACTACTAGGAGCAGGGACGCTACTAGGGCTAGGGGCTCGTGGCATCGCTACGAACGGAGCAAGAAGCTAACTTCGGAAAGGGTTTTCGCTCCGACCTGAAGCGGCGGTTTCCCTGTCCCAGCGTGCCTCAACGTCTCTCTTGCAGCCGATCACCACGGGACACCTGGCTTCAGGTGCTTGGGAAAGTCAATGATGTGTTGTTTGAGGGGGATTCTTGGGAAGACTCCAAAAACAAGGTAGTGTACAGTATACTCTTGATGAAAAAATCCACCATATGAAGGTTATATAATCCATATATCAGGGTTTATATGGGTTCATCAATGGTCTGCAACACGACTGTTCACAAGCAGCCCATCCGAATCACAACCGATGAGAACCTCCACTTTTGTCAATGATGTGATTGGGGCATTCGTAGTGGGTTGCAGGTTCTGAATTCACCCGTCTCAACAATCCATCACAAATAGATTGGTATAGGCGTGATCACATATATCAAGGGTTTCGCTTACGCTGTCAATGCCCATCTCTCTAGGTTGAAAGAGGCCAGTATTTCCTCTTGTCAGCAATGTCTCACACTGCCCGGTTGCGGTTGTGACAAGAAGAGGGGTTCGCTAGCTTTGAGATTCCGTTGTTTGCTTCTCGTCCAGCAAATGATTTGTTACCGATCCTTGAAGCACACCACAAATCCAAAAAGTCCAGTCCTTTCAAACTCTTTGACAATGACTTTTGTGCTTTGAGGAGCCGGAATCATGATGAATCATGTAAGTGTCAAAATCTTTGGAACCATGAAACAACACAACCCAAATTCTCAGGTCCACGCTTCTCATGGATCGTCTCAGGGACGATGTCCAGCAGCCTTTGAATCTTGCCTCAGACATGGGACCGTGGAGAGTCTCGCCTGTTCGGCCCGTCGCACGCCATTTGCTCCCAACCCCACACGCCCGACACCCAAAGAACACTAGGAAACCATCATAATCCATCCATCCTTTTTCCAAGAAGTTTCCATTCTAGCCTCCCAATGTTCTCAAGATCGAGGCACCTTTGAACATGCCACAGGAAGCTGCACCACCTGCTTGCTCCATGATGAAGGCCATCGGGAAGCCCTGCAAACATTTCCCATCGACTCCACCCTCTCTCCCTGCGAGACCATGGTCACCCGTGGCCAACGCGCCGAGACCGCCCCAAACCACGAGTGGCTGCTGCGGCCTGAAATGCCCTTAAAACCCATGATTGATTCGTGATACATGACTAGTAGCTTCTTGCTACTAGTAATGTCCCTGTTCCTAGTAGCAATGCCCGTGTTTCTAGTAGCTTCATGTAGCTATATGTATTATTGCATGTTCTAATGGTTGATCCACTTTTCCAGCCCTGTGCCACCCCGGGGCCACCCCCATGTCGGATCGCCTCGTAGAGAACCCGAAGCTTGCCATGCTTAGACTTGGCATCTGCTGGGTACAAGTAGACTCCGCCATAGAGGATGGTCCGGTGTACGTCCTTGGGCAAGGAAACGGAAGCAATGCGACGCGCCGTCGGAACTTGGCAGAAAAACCCTCGTCTTGGGGACCTGGAACCGTAGAAGTCTGACGAATCAGTGCAAGTTGGGCTGGGGTTAGGAATTGCTTGAATCATATACTTGTCATGTCTTGCTGTTACTGCTGCTGTTGCTATCAATTGCTGCTCTTCTCTGATTCAGCCGCGGCACGGACACCATCGATCCCACGTATCGCGCAGCGTAGGGCTTGTCGCTGTCCTGTCGACTGAGCCACAACGTATTGGAAGTGCAGCAAGCGAGAAGGTGCTTTTACGGTGGAGAGCGAGAGAGAGAGGGACAAAGAGAGAGATGGAGAGGAACATGAATATCTCTTAGAGCATCCTTCCTGAACATTTCTTGGCTGGGTTCACCAGGGCTGTTCATCACCTCTTTTGGATTTCACCGAGGGATGCAAGGCCCTTGAGCAGCTGGAAGCAGGGGTGCGCACATGCATGAAGTGCTTCTCCCCAGCTGCGTGTAAAACCATGTGAACCGCGTTGTGGAACATTGCATCCTGCACACTCAGCATCAGCAGGATCAGGTCTTACTCACAAAGATCGGCTGTTAAGGATGTACCTATCATACATCTGGCGAACATTTGGAACGATACACCTCATGAGAGAAGAATCTAAGGAACCTCGACCGGTGCAAAAGCCTTATTTGACCCCTTTCAAAGCACATCGTGGATTTCGAAGGGCCCAAGCCTACGCTGTTTTGTCATGTTGCCTGCTGATCCTTAGTCTAAGCCAAGCATCTCTTCCTTTCTGCTTTTTCTTCTCATCTCTAATATCGATGGCCTCCAAGCTAAGAGCGCCGGCCTCCAACCTAAGAGCAATGGCCTCCAATGTAATTGTTGTTTCCTTTCTAGGTCGCGAAGCAGCGCCCGGTTGGCAAGCACCGCAGCCCATGTCTGTCCTTCCACTTGCCGATGATGCCCTTGATCGCTGCGTCCCAATTCCGGCTATTGCCTCGACAAGAGCCACTGAGGATGCGAACATGCCTGCTGGTGACAGATGTGGGGCCCACCACATCTGGGGTGTCTATGTCAACCAAGAAATGGCGATCAATGCAATCGCAGTTGGAGGCCATCGCTTTGTAAGTTGGAGGCCATCACTGTAAGGTTGGAGGCCATCGCTCATAG